GCAGCCCCGTACATGGGTACCACGCATACTCTGTGTCTGGGTCTGAGCTCATTGAGACTTACGTGGACAAGAAACATTCCTTTAAATTGACAGCCCAACCTTCTAACTCTTCAGTTTCCCGAGTTAGCAGCTTACCCGAAAAAACTTTGGCGAGTCCATACGTGGATAACACGTACACTAAGAGTCCGGGTCTGAACTCAGTGAGACTTTGGTGGACGGGAAATATGCTCCTAAAATTACAGTCTTCTAGCTTTTCAAATTCTCGAGTTAGCAAATTAACTGGAAAAAATTTCGGCGGGCCTGTGCGTGGGTACTACGTGTGCCCGGGGGCTAGTTTGAAGCTCGTCAAGACTTACGTGGACAGGGAACGTCTCCATGAAATTTCAACTTTCTGGCTTCCCAAGTTCCCGAATTAATAACTTACCTGAAAAAAACTTTGGCGAGCCTGTACGTGGGTACCACGCGGTAAGAGCACCCATTTTGGGAACTGCTGCCCGTACATGCATGTAGATTAAGTCCCCAAACTTTCAGCCCTGTAGCTTTTGTAGGTCTGGAAATGAAAAATCGGTGTAGAGGCCCAGCACGCACAGACAATCTCTCGACAGTATGCGTTTTCTGCATTGCATAGCTGTAAAAAATGCATAAAAAATAAGCATGCGGTGGAAATGAAACCAGCTTCGAGACTTCTCTGTTTACAACTTCAGGTCCAGATTCATGCAAAATAATATAATCGGTCTATCAAAAATGCAACAATTTAGAAATTTCTGGTGATCATTTTGTCAAGTGTAAGATGATGTCAAGAAATTTCTAATTTTTCACGTTTTTTAAAACCAGTATTTTCGATTTGTGACTTCAGCCAGATATTCAGGTTCTTTCTATAGATTTAAAATGGAGTAACGCAAATGAAGTTTTGAATATTAATTCACAACGTAAGATGAAGCAAAAACAGCGAAATCTTTGAGAATCAGCTGCTTCGAGGCCTATGATCGGTAAGCAGCCTATTGCAGAAACATGTAACTTGTCGGCCGATCTGTAGGCGTCGCTGTGTGCTAAAATTAGAGCAACTTCTGGCTTTTCGAGCAAACATGGCAGTTATACATAAAAGGGAAACATGGAGCCTGCCGTCGCAGTTATTTACAAATACTATGCGACACTGCCACCTCCTTGCTTTACTTTTGTAAGAAATTTAATAAGTGATTGATTATATGATAAAAACTGCCGCAGGCTTGCCCCACTGATGTTAAATTCTGAGATTTTTCGCAAGGGCTTTACTGTCTATTGCACAAATCTATTCACAGTTTGCACAAGGAAGTGAGCACCTTTGAAAATCGTTCTAATCCTCTCACGCCGTCCAATGCATTCCAACTCAGCTAGATTCCCCTCCTATATTAATCAGTTTCGCACCTTAGAGGTAGGTACTGGCGCTGGTTAATTTATTTCAAATCACAGAGCCCTTCGAACCTTCCCTCCTCTGTTGAAAAGAGTTGATAAGGGAACTGAGTTGATTAAAAGTTCCGACTTCACTCACTGGTTTACTTTATTGCTTCATTGCTTCCGATACAAAACTGTACAGGCGGAAGCTCCACAACTTGCTCAGACTAGATGATAGCCAGAGCGTGTTTTTAAGGCAAAAATCATTGGCAACGCGCACTGGGCGGGCTCGTGCGATCAAGTCTTTTTGCAGTGTTTCGTGCTGCAAAAAGATCACTTGAAATTCCGGTAGCTAGAAACTTCTGACATACTGGTCCTCGAATTTCGGAAAGTTAATTGTCCACGCTATGCATGGACAAGGAACATTCCCCTGAAATCCCAGGTTCCCAGCCTTCCCAGTTCCCGAGTTACCCAAATCCCAGCCAGAAAACTTCACGGGGCCGTACGTGGCAACCACGCACGACTGGGGGCTGGGTTTGATAAATTTAAATTGTGGATGGGTTAGGAACGTTTCTTGAAAGTTTCAGCCTCCTAGCTTCCCTGGTTCCGGAGTTAGCCATTTTCCCGCCAAAAATTTTCACGGAGTCGTACGTGACAACTACGCATAGCGGGTGACTGAGTTTGATAAATTTAAGTTGTAGATGAGTTTGGAACATTGGCTGAAAGTTTCAGCCTCCCAGCCTCTCTGGTTCCCGAGCTAGCGATCTTCGCGCCAGAAACCCTCACGGGGCCAACGCGCACACCTGGGGGCTGGGTTTAAAATCTTTGAGTTCTATATGGGTGGGGGACATAATCCCAAAATTTCAGCTTTCTGACTTCTCTGGTTCCCAAGTTAGCGATTTTCCGCCAAAACTTTGAAACGCTCGCACATGGGGCCTAGACGCACGTGAGGATTGGTACCGTAGTCCTGGGATGGCACTTGGCAGGGCAACCTACTCGCAAAATTTTGGCGCCGGAAATTGCTAGGGTGCCGAGTTGAAATACCCGGACACACACACACACATATATATATATATATATATATATATACACTGGGATCGTCGCAATATGCGTTTTCGCATTTGCATATATGCAAAAACACATAATTAAGATGCAGGGGACAGATGGGTAAAGAAAGCGTTCCTGAAAATGGACAGTTAAACTATCAAAATACATTACGACTAAAAGAAGCAGAAATAATCTATGATCTGGATGATTAATCCGTTTTTGTTATGTGTTTTTACTGTACCACGCTATAGAGCTGCTGCAGCTAGCAAAAACGCATATTTTCAAAAGGTCGTCGTGTTCAGAAGCGAGTAAACTTCGTTGCCCACTTTCATCTCAGTAACGAGGAAAGCTGGGAGGCTGAAATTTTGTACACATGTTTCTACCCCGTGTGTAATCCTCCTGTTTAAACCATTCGCTCATACGCGCCTAGATCCTGCGTACGAATCCCCGAAAAAAAGGCAACTATTACAACTCGGCTCGGCTGGTGGTCGGTAGTGCTTGGGAAGCCCTCTGCCATCTCTGGCAACGATGTTTCGTGGCGTTGCTCACTGTGATCGTTTGGCAGCCCGCCAGAAAAGCAGGGCAACGTTACCCAGGCCGCAGCGGCTGTATGGCTTGGCCGGTGAGAAGGTGGAGTAGTAGAGGGGGTGCCGTGGTTGTGGGGATACGTTGGGGGTGAGCGGCGGTTAGTGGATGTACAAATGTCTTCTCCTCCCCTCTCTCTCTTCTTAAGCAACAAATTTTCTCATTCCCCCTTCCTCCCCTGGTAGTGAGGACTGAGGGCAGTGGGCGACCAAATTTGCCCCGCCAATCAGTCGGAGTGGACCGGAAAGACTGAATTTTGTGCCCAAAAACCGGGCTTATATACGGGAAGAATGTAGGTGTAGCCAGAGTAGGAGGTGTATAGACGACCTCAAGGGGTTGTAAAATGCACCTACCCCGACACGTCACACATCACATATGTTTGACCTGAAAAGCCATAAAAATCCTCCCCCTCTACTTTTTTTAATCTATGCTGGCACCACATTCAAATTATTACCATCTGCCGTGAGACAACCCTACCTGCCTTCCGGAAAAAAAATTTTTCACAAATCGTGTACGAGACGAGCTGAGCCGAGCCGAGCCGTGTTTTAGTAGCTGCTGAAGAAAATATGCAAATTTCTTTGGCGAAGAACGATTTCGTGAACCAGGCAAGGTGCAGTGCTGAAACTTTGCAGGGATATTCTCTGTGCATGTGCGTGCTGAAGGTTTCAAATCCAGCTGTCGCGCACTTTTGTGTAATGTGTACGATCTCGTCAAAGTTTGCAACTTGGTACTGTGCTAACTCAAAAACTTGCTGGAAACCAGTGGCTGAAATTTTGCCAGCATGTTTGACGCCTATATGGGAAATTGTTTACCGAAAATGAGTGCCGATTTGCACTTGCGCCACGACTTAGGGCACTTCAAAGATATTTATAGCGAAGTGAACATTTCGCTTACCGGACATGGTGCCAAGCTGAAAATTTGCTGGGGTATTCTACTTTCAAGTGCGGTATTAATTCTGCTTGAAGGTGAAATTCCCTGCAGATGGGCTTGAGAAATACTCAACTTTACCGAAAAATCAGAAACGAGTGCGTTTTGCAGCGAACGACCGCCCTTATCCAAATATATAAATGAAAATCCAGTTCATTTGCATACTTGGATTTCTTGACGAGCGACCGCTCTAGCAACATTTCCACTTTTTAGTGAACTGGAAATTTGCATTTTTATGCGTTTTTGCTGTGCAGCGCTATAGCAGCGCTACACCGCTGCTACAGCCAGCAAAAACGCGTATTGTCGAGAGACTGTCTGTGTGTGTGTTCGGAAGTGTCACTCACTTTCATTTCAGCAATCAGGAAAGCTTGGAGGCTGAAACTTTGGATATATGTTCCTATCCCGTGTGTCATCCTCCCGCTTTAAGATCTTTCCCCATACGGGCCTAGACCCCGCGTATGGGACCCCCAAAGAATATCTTCGCGAGAAACAATTCCGCGAACCAGGCAAGGTAGAAAGCTGAAACTTTGCAGGGATATTTTCTATGCACGTGCGAGCTAAAGATTTTAAACTCAGCTGTCGAGTCTCCCAACCACAGCCTCAAGTAGCTCCTCAGCCCAAAAATCGTCCGCAACTCGAACCTGAACCGCAATCATATATGTAAATGAACATGGATTTTTTGACAAACGACCGTTCGAGCAACGCTTCCAATTTTTCATGAACTGAAAATTTGTCATTTTTTCACAAAGCGAGCATTTATCGAAAAAACGACCGGACTTCATGCAAAAAAACCGGCAGTCATGCACCTGGATGTCCGTGCGGCTCTATAATGTACCACCTTCATCCTAGCTGCCGTCCTTCCTCGTGCATGCCGGAAAGGATCAAAGTACGCCAATATGACCCAAGTGTTAGGCTACAGCGTAGGGATCATTCCTGCTAATAGCGTTTAACGAGTTTAGTGCAAAAACGCATGATCACACCGGAGAGCCTGGCGCATTCCAGCCCCTTTTTTGCAGGATACGTCTTGTTCGGACCTTCGTTTTGCTGCAGGTCGCAAGTTTTAAAAAATAATGCCTCGACGTATAGCCTTAATTTACTTCATTATCTCAACAGCGAACAATTTTTTTACAGCAGCAGATTTATCTGAAATGAACGGTAAGCATTAAAATTTGCGCAAAAGTTAATTTTCTAGCACTTCGAAACCTCGACCAAGCCAAGTTTGTTTAAATCTGATTTCACTGAGGGTCATCTCCTAAATAAACTTTATTCGGTCTAAAATACGCTTTTTACGCGCGCCCGTGTGCACAGGGTAAAATTTTGCTCCTCTGACTCGAAAGAAACTCTAGTTCAGACTAGTACTTAATCGTACGAACACGTCTTGTGTTGCGTCAAGTATGACACGTCCCTTCTGAATTTGTAGACTTCGATCTTAATTTATAGCGTTTGAATTTTTTCTTTATCCAATCAGAATTCCTTGATCGTTTACAGCCCGCGATGTCCAGCAAAAAATAGACGTAACAGTCGGAAAAGAAAATATGATCCAGCCAAGCACAGCCAGTAGCACTTAGATTCGGGACTGACTGCGACTTTTTGTTTCAAAGCATATTTTCAGGACAAAGTGGCACTAATTCATTGACAACAAAATTTCGGCAGTATGCACTTGGATCAACACCTGGACTTAGCCTTGGAGCTCTCGGACTTGCCAGTAATCCATTTTCTGGTTTATCTGCGCTGCCTGGATTGATGTCTGGAGGACTTGGCACAATTCCTGGCCTTCCAGGCATCGCTTCTGGTTTGAACGGTCATGCAGGAGCCCCTGGTTCCAGTCTAAGCACAGCAGCATTTCCCGGAACGCTAGCTGGCTTACCAGGAACTACCTCTGGACTTGGGACCTTGCCAGGGACCATCCCTGCGCTTGGGACTTTACCGGCGACTGTTCCTGGGCTTGGGACTTTACCAGGGCTTGGGACTTTACCAGCGCTTGGGACTTCACCAGGGGCGATCCCTGGACCTGGGACTTTATCAGGAACTTTCCCCGGTTTTGGAAGTCTGACAGGGGGTCTACCCAGCCTTACAGGCTTGTCTGGAACTTCTCCCGCTTTAGGAGGCTTTACTGGGACAAATACTGGGCTTGGTGGCTTGCCGGGGGGTTTTCCAGGTCTTACTGGTTTACCGGGCAATGTTCCTAGCCTTACTAGGCTACAGGGATCAGGTGTTGGTTTGCCCGGACAGCCGTTTCGTGATCAAGCTACCGCAGTTTGATGACACCAGCTGCGTTCTATTTGTTTTTATTAGAAATTCTGTGAATTAGTTATTTGACATCATTAGTATGCCTTTCTTCAAACTGATTGCATCGGTGAACTAGTGACGAAGTTCTGTGCGTTGTTGATGTGGACCGCTCGCACGCTTTAGCAAAGGGAACAGAGAGTTTATACTTTGGAAGAGTGACTAATTACTCAATATTACATAATTGATAAGTTTGAAATGTTAGTCTGAAGTCTGGTTGGAACTAGGAAACTTTCAACTCCCTTGATTCGCTTATGCCACTCAGTATAATTTACAGAGTGTGTCACTTTAGAATTACGGAAATTACTCTCTCTGTGTGCTCTTTATCATTGCCGGCGTGTAATTTATACTTGGCCTGATATCAGTGTCCGTTATTTTGATAAAATTCTTTTGCTATGTCAAAGTTGCCACTCAGTCTCACTCAGAAAACAGGACTGCCGAATGATGGCTTATTTATTGTACTCATCAGTGTAAATGCCTTATCATGCGAAGAAACAATTGCAAACTTGACCAGTAGGTTCACATCATTAGTAGGCTCATATTATTAGTTCATATTATGAATAATGAATAAAAATTTAGAGTAAGAATTAATTTTGAAAGAATAAAGCACGATCAAAGCTAATGAAATCAAATAAGAGGTAAAAGCAAACAATTCTACATACTAATCAGCCTACCAAAAAACGACGAAAATAACCGAAAACAACACATCACGAAAATATGGTTGGGATTTCTGGACAGAAGTTCATTCGCAACCTGTATCCCCATTTCTGCAGCTGCCCATCGACTACAGTATTTGTGCTTTCGCATTTACACACTCCATGCATTCCAGACAAAGAATCGAAAGAGCGCGCCAGTTGCTTTCCTGCTGGTTCTTCCACGCAACGCGAGTACCGTTTAACCTTACATTCCGTCCATCTGCAATCTGCTGCGCTTGTGGCATGTCCAGTCGGCTTACTCCTGAAGCACATTTTTATATGTTACATATTTTACACGAGAAAGTGACCGCAGCTCGTTGTTTTGTTATGTCACAGCTAGCCGGCGCTAAATATTCGTCTCTTTTTTTACTGTTACTTTCCATTTACGTATATAAGTCCGCAGAGTGACAATAAATATTCTGACATAATTATATCCATCGTTTTCTGGACAGTTTTCGAGTTGGCGAATTTTGATGTGGCAGTATGTGTGGTGCAAGCATAGTAAATAATAGGTGAATCTCTAGCTCACACACGGACAGAGAATGTGCGTGCAAATCTCCAGTTCCCTGCGTTTGCCGGATCCTGGAACCTTTTTCTGTCGCTTTTTCAGGCGTCCGAACATAAGAATTAGGACGCATGTGAGCACTGATTTCAAAATGTGCGTTTTTATGCGTTTTGCTTCTTTACGCAAGTGCAAAAACAAATATTGTCGGTGTGTGTGTGTGTATGTGTGTGTGTGTGCGTGTGTGTATCTGTGTGTTTGTGTGTGTGAGTGTGTGTGTGTGTGTACATATTTATATGTATACGTGTGTTTGGATTTTTATCACCCACTTTCAACACGGCAAACGCTGAAAATAGGAAGCTGAAATTTCACGGAAATAAGACTATAAGCAATCTCAGCTGCTTAGAATCATCGTTGCTCTGCATATGGATTTCACATACAGATGCCCAAAAAAAGTATGAATTTTTTGATGGGAAGACGATTTCGGGAACCGAGCGAGATAGAAAGCTGAAATAGGTTGATATTCTGTGCCCGTGTTTTGGCACCCCCAAATACAGCTGTTACGCATGTTTATTTCACGAGTACGGGCATGCGAAAATGGAAGTCCCGATACCTTTGGCAAAATGCCAAGTTGAGGACCACGCTGAATTTAATGCCTTTTTTTGATGAAAATATTTGCCATGCGCACACGGGCACCTAGACTCAAGTTTTGCCGTGCACTCTTATTGCTAACACGCCAATGTCTGCGACAAAAAGCGATTCTGTCAACTTTTGCGAAGATATTCAGTGCTCACGTGCAACCGAAATATTTAAAATCCAACTTTAAAGCACACCTGCGTCTCGTGCCTCGCGCAAGTGAAGTGTAAGTTTGGAACTCTGTTTACATCTACTTAACTCAGTAACCAAACTGAATAGAAAAAGCCCATTTATTCTGAAATATTTGGGGTCAACAAACGTAAGATAAGCTTCTGCCTAGGCATGAGCTTTGCGTACAGATAACTCAAATTTTTAGACTACAACACCGCAGTCACCCCCACCTCCGTCCAACAGCACAGGCGATCTCACTGCAGGATGGAAATAAGCAATAGCAAGTGATCGCACCGGCAAAGTTGATGCGTCGCTACTTGGGCTGCACTTAAATAAGATGAAAATCATTGGCGACCGGGACGAGTGGGGGCTGGGGGAGCGATCATGCATTTTTGTATGGTTTATCCTGTGTGAACTGTTCTTGTGCAGCCTCAGTTCGTGTAGAGCAATTTTTGTGTTGTACAAGCATTTTCAATACTACTACTTTATTAGGTAAAGAAGGTTTTAAATACTCGTACGTACAAAAGTATTTACGCGCTGAGCAGAAAAATAATAATTGGCCAACGCACGGGCTGTCCGTGCGATGATGCGTTTTTTGCACAATTCTGCGCAGTTTTTGTCACTGCCGGCATCGGTTTTTTCGGCAGATCATCCTAGCTAAACAAATTAAGACTGGCTGCCAAAACTGGCAGGAAACACCTCCTTAAAATTTCAGTTTTCTTGCTATCCTGGCTCCTGAGTTCCAATTTACTGGAAAAAATTTTTCACGAGCCCGTACGCGGGTACCACGCTTACCCGGGGGTTGAGTTTGAGCTCATCAGTATCTACTTGAACGGGGAACATTCCCATAAAATTTCAGCTCTCTAGCTTTTCTGGTTCTTGAGTTAACAGCTTACCCGTAAAAAACTTTGGCGGGCTCTTACGTGGGTATCACGCGGGAAAGACCGCCCATTTTGGGGATGGGGCCCATACGAGCATGTAGATCAAGTCCCCAAAGTTTCAGCCTTGTAGCTTTTGTAGGTCTCGAGATGAAAAATCGGTACAGAGGCCCTGCGCACACACGGACAAACACACACACAAACACACACACAGACAAACACACACAAACACACACACATACACACAGACAATCTCTCGCCAATAAGCGTTTTTCGCATTGCATGGCTGCAAAAAACGCGTAAAAAGAGAGAACAGAGAGGAAAGAACAGACAAGGGTATTAGTGCACAAAGTAGATAATATGTTACAAATGTTATTATTCAGTGAATGAGATATCTGAAATGGAAAGTATTAAAAAAAGGAGCTGTGGAGGAATATCAGCATTAGTTTGGATCATTAAGTAACGAACATGAAGAAGAAATTAACATGCAACGGGTATTTGGAATTGAGTCGCAGCAGCATAGAAACTGCCGTGACGCCGATGCGGCCTTTTACAGTGCATTAGGAAAAGTAGATTGCGGGACAGATGACCTGGATGTTGCTGTTGTCGATCGTTACTTAGTTTTTATGCGTTTTTTGCAGCTATGCAATGTAAAAACGCATATTGACGTGGGGTTGTCTGTCTGTGTTTGTGTCTGTGTGTGCGTCTGTTACGGTTTTTCATCTCAAGACCTACAAAAGCTACAGGGCTGAAACTTCGGGAACTTAATCTACATGCACGTACAGGCCCCAATCCCCAAAATGGGCGCCACCACCCACGTGGTACCCGCGTACGGGACCGTCAAAATTTTTTTCGGTTAAGCTCATAACTCGGGGGTCTGAGAAGCTAGAAAGCTGAAATCTTAAGAATATGTTCCCCGTCCAAGTGGGTGTTAATGAGCTCAATATTCTCCGGGTAAGTGTGGTACCTGCCAAAATTTTTTCCCGATAAGTTGCTCAGGAGCCTGGGAAGCTAGAAAGTTGAAATTTTAAGAGGGTGTTTCCTAACAGTTCTGGCGGTCATTCTTAATTTGTTTCGCTAGAAGTATCTGCCGAAAAAACCGGTGTCGGTGGCGACAAAAACTGCGGGGAACTATGCAAAAAACGCATCTTCGCACGGGCAACCCGTGCGTTGTCCAATTATTTGCTCATGCAAAAGCAAATCATTGTGATTGCCTCGAGCACTGGCAGCGGAAATGAAAATAAATGACCAGCGCACCGACTGCCGAAACGAAGATGCATTTTTTGCATAGCTCCCGCAGATTTTTGTTAATAACGGCACTGGTTTTTTCGGCAGATGCTTCTAAAAGAATTCAAACTGGCCGCCAGGATTGTCAGGAAGCATCCCTTTAAAATATCAGATTTCTAGCTTTCCTGGTTACCAAGTGAGTAACTTATCCGCAAAAAAAATTCACTGGCCCATACGTAGGAAACAAACATACCCGGGAGCTGGGTTTGAACCCATTAATATTTACGTGAGCGGAGAACATCCTCTTAAAACTCCAGTCTTCTAGCTTCTCAGGTTCCGGAGTTAACAATTTACTTGAAAAAAACTTCCACGAATCCGTACTTTGCAGCCACGCACACTGGAGAGCTAGGTCTGAGCTCATTAATGCCTACTTTTCGTATAAGTCCATTCTGCACAGAGACTGCCTGTGCTGGGCTGTGATTGCGATGTTGCAATTTGAACGTTTGATGCATCTGTACGCAGAGGACATACCCACGTTTTACGTTTGCTGATCCACAAATGAACAGCAAAAATTCTCGATAAAAAATACTGTTTGCCTAATTGACTGAATGTCGACAGTATCCCGAATTAAGCATTCACTTATGCGTACACGAGACCTACGCGTGTTGTAGAGCAGAATTTAAAATATTAAGTTGCACATTGGCATAAAATATTCTTGTAAAGTTTCAGCTTCCCAGCAAAACTGGTTGGTGAAATTACTTTTTTTCTACAGATATTTTTGAAGCGCCCGAACACGCGACACGTGTAAACGCCAAAGTTCATTTTATGTTTA